AGTACCCGGACCGCAAAACTGATAGCCGAGGATATATAGTTCGAAAGGAAGCGCGTTTATCGCTCGATTAAGCAGACCTCCAATGTAGCCTTCGTTTGACGCTGCTGCTGGCATAGGCCACAATCCTTTATCTTCGGTGCAGGACCGTTTATATGATTTCGATCCCACGATTGATTATAATGCTCGACGCAGCGACGATAGGTTTGAACCTGCAAATCCGCCTTTATATACTCCGGAAGCTTGTTCCACACATTGTGATCGATATAATTACCGCACACGCGTAACAGTACGACCTTCGGTATACATTGCAATTGCTCAGCGCTCAAATCCCGAATATCGGAGGGATCGGAGGGACAGCGCGAGATACATTTTGCTACTGAGCGATTCGTGATTTCGCGCGCCTATAAATAGGCGTTCGATTGAAGCCTAGATAACGCAGTGCGAACATGAAATTTGTACGGCAGCCGCTGACGATACGCGTCGCGAACTGTGACGAGAGAGCGCGAATGATGGGAAACATCGCGACGGAGCGCAAGCATGGTGAAATGTTACCGAGTACTATATGCGCCATCATTTGCGGGCCGTCGAATTGTAGTAAAACCAACGTTCTCATAAGCTTGCTCGAGAGTCCGCACGGTGTACGTTTCGAGAACGTGTACGTATACTCGAAATCGCTGCAACAACCGAAATATCGATATTTGGAAAATTTACTAATGTTACGTCCAGCCCGAGGTAAATATATTTTTTTGAAAATGGATGGGGCTTGGAAGGACGCTCCAAATATCCTCTCGCAGGTGGGCGCGCTGAAGCGTCCCTACGAGTCGGACACTGTGCTGAGCCACGAGTGCGAGTCAACGTCTTGAAAAAGACGCTATGACTTCGACTGCGTGACGTGCGTCCGTCGGTCCGTAATTTAGGCAAGAGAATTTAATCTCTTTTGCCAGGGACAGGACCATGCGCGAATCTTGGGATAACGAGAAATGAAAGAGGGAGCAAATTATTAAAACGATAAATAATTTAAATTTTACATGTAATTAATAATTTTAAAACGATTACAAGGTTAGCTAGCTACAAGATCGTGTCACTAGTTCTTGCGTTGAAATACATTTACTGATGATATATTTACATTTGAAAAAATAATAAAACAAGAAGGGTGTTACGTACAGAAATTCATGTAATATAAATGTTCTAAAAATTGACGGATCTATTGTTTGGTTTCTGTGTACAAATTCTATTATTTTTTGGTATGTTTATTTATATTCTAATTATTCTTATCTTACATAGTTTAGTATTTTTAATCTGTTGTTAATCTATTTAAATTTGTATTTTGTTATCTGTGTGTGGTTGTTTCAGAGAGGAAGTCGGATTTCCGATGGTGAGATCTAGGGAAGGAGGGGAAGGAGTCCGGAGTTCGCAGAACTCGTCCAAGGATTTCTGGGTGCGGAAATCTGGATATATCTGGAGGTTAGTGTCATGGCGCTCTGGGAAGAGTGCACTGAAATCTGGGGGTGATCCAGGTTCAGATGGTTTGATCGGGGAATAGGACGGAGGAGATATGTATAAATAATGGGGTCTCCTGCTGGAACAACTCGTGGTTTCTCGCTTGTTGCGACGGTAACGGAGCCTCTTCAGGGCTCGCCTCCGTCTCTGAGCATCGGAAAGAGTGGATGATGTAGCTTTCACTAGAAGAAATGGATTTGGAATATGAAGGAAATGTCATTAGTCGTGAACCTTAAGGCTATCTCTGAAATATTTCAGGAAACCAAGAGATCCGACAGAGGAGAGAAATTAAAAAGGGAAAGAGAAAATTGTAAGAGAGGAGAGAAAAAACAAAAGAATAGATTTCCCGAATTACTCGGCAGCCATGAACCTGCTGAGTGCTCCGCAACGCATAAGGAGCCCGAGAGGTTCGACGGCTGAAGCCAACAGAGAAGAAGCAGATTTTGCCGAATTATTCGGCGGCCATGAACCTGCTGAGTGCTCCGCAACGCATAGGGAGCCCGAGAGGTTCGACGACCCAAGCAAAGAAAGAAAGAGAAAAGAAAAAGAAAAAGGGAGTAGAAGTGTAAGGAGAACGGCAGAGGATAGAAAGGATGTAAGGAAGGAATGAGAAAGTATAAGGAGAAGAGACCCGAAAACTATTATTAGGGAATTTTTCTATGTGTAATTAAACTTACTGTTACTCTGGAATGCCGGAGACTTGGGACCTGCGAGATGATGAAGACGGTAACGTTGTCGCCAGGAAACTTGGTCACTTGTACTTGTACTTGGTGAAATTGTTGATTATTTTCGACTGACACCGACTGATTGAATTATTGACAACTGATAAACTGAAAATGTTCTGACCGCGTGAAAAAAGAAGCAGCAGTGCGCTCCGTGCCTTTAAGGGCACTATATATATATATGATTTTGTTGAGGAAAACATCTGTACACGTGTTGTTTTTCCGCGATTAGGATAATAGGGATTATCCGCTTAATTAAAGCCAAATTCTTAGTAACCGACTCCCGGAAGAGATCAGTTGCGTAACCGTCGCGATCGTAACAGAACATGTGTCATCCGTTTATCTGCTTAACTAAATTCTAATAATTGATATCCGAAAGAGAAGAATCGCGCAGTCGTCAAGATGTAACATCGGTGTATTTCCGCGATTAGGATAATAGGGATTATCCACTTAGCCGAATTCTAGAAACCGACCCCCGGAAGAGATCAGTTGCGTAACCGTTGCGATCTAACAGAGTAACAGAACATGTGTCACTTGTTTATCCGCTTAATTAAATTCTAATAACAGATACCCGAAAGAGAAGAATCGTGCAGTCGTAACGACGTAACACTAACATCGATAGAAGAAATCGGCTACTTTACGTTCTCCAACAACAGTGACGTCATTACACCGAGCGAGGCACATCCCAATTCGATTTTCGTCTTCGACGATGTTGCGTGCGATAAGCAAGATGCTGTGAGAGAATACTTTTCGATGGGCCGCCACTCGAACGTCGATTGCTTCTATCTCTGTCAGACGCACGCGAGGATACCTAAACATCTGATACGCGACAATGCGAACCTGTTGATTCTGTTCAAACAGGATGGTATCAACTTGAAACATGTTTACAACGATCACGTAAATACCGACATGTCATACGATGAATTCTGTGTGTTATGCCGCGATTGTTGACAGCGCGAGTATGGATTTCTAGTGATAAATAAGGACAGTCCGCTTATCAATGTCCGCTTATCAATAATACGATACAGAAAAGAATTTAATACTTTCGCGGTACCGTAACGTGGTTAATCGATGTCGATACGTGGAGTAGGCAACATGGATAACACCAAAGATCGCGAGAAAATAGCGAAACAGATTGCGAAAACGAGCGATTCGATTCGCAAAAAATATAGCGCTTTAAAAATTAGTAAAATAGCTGAAGATACAGCGTTGGAGAAACGCTTGAAGCCCATCGTCGAACCTCTAAAACAGATTGTTGAAAAAACCGAAGAATCTCAATCGATTGAAAGAGAAGCAAAGGATCTCGGTATTAAGAAAAAACAAAAACGTGAAGACAAGGATGACGACAGCGATAACGATATTACTACTACTGACAAAGATTCATATTGGACGGATGTTGGATGGTTGAAATTAACGCCGCAGTCTAAAAAACAACGTACAATGAAAGAATTGAAAGCCGTGTCAGATTCACTCGTGTTCGAGTCTACACCGATACAACTATCGAAAGACCCATCGAAAGAACCACCGCTGTTCCTGCAAAAGGAAGATGTTTTCGAAACAAAAGACCAGGCGTCAGTGAACCGTCATTCGAAATCATCAAACGGACTCTGCAAACGCAACAAGGTCGAGAGGCGTTGTATAACCAGCTGGGACTAGGGATTAGGGCAAAAGTACGTAAGCCCTCTCCTCGATGATAATGGAAAAAACGATACATTTGATCGCGCACGGTGTTTATTTCGATAAAAACAGTGGTGCGATGTTTGGTGACAAGAAATTTGACGTTGACAAAAATGACTCCATAATCATAGACAATGTGAGATACAATGGTACACCAGGATTGTACGAATTGATCTTCAAGAGACTTCCCGATGATGCGGTTTTTACTGAGGATGACAAACAAACGTATAAAAATATATTGTTAACAACAAATGCTCATAAACGTGGTCACAGCGCCATAATCCCATCAAGGGCAATAGGGGATCCAAGTATATTAACATCATCGCTCCGCTCGTATCTACGTATGGAAGTAGCGGGCGTAAAAAGGGTGCAGGCGTGAGCAATATACCAACCGCCATGAATTAAACGACAATAAGATCGATTACGTGCATTGGGACGATCCCAACGAACTGGTGGATCGACTCCGATTGCTCGACGCTTCGCACCGAGCTGGTAACAACGCTCCCGACAACGAGATGCTGTCGATCATCGAGGAACTTCGCGAAGCCGGCATTATTATAAATTAATCGCGTATCGACGAAACGAGTCAATTAACATCAGTGAGGAAAAAAACAATTTTAAATTGTATATCTTATTTACTATTAAACATCGTCGAAACATGCGATCCGATGGATGAAAAAAAGGTTAGCTCCGAGAGGCGACGACTCGTTTAAGAATTGCACGCTCCGGCGAGGAGAAATTTTCCGCGAAGACGTGTCATAATTCGGGGATACGATGATCTGTGGCAGACTGACATCGTCGAGATGCGTCCGTACTCGAGTTTCAACAGAGGTCATCACTACATACTCATCGATGCGTTGAGCAAGTACGCCTGGGCCATACCGCTCAAGAGCAAGGTCGGAAGCGAGACGGCTAACGCTATCGCTAAGATAATTCGAGAGAGCGGAAGATGCCCGAGAAACTTGCAAACGGATATAGGAAAGGAATTTTACAATGCCAATGTGCAAAAACTCTTCAAAAAACAACGTTAATCATTATTCCACGTATACGGTGTTGAAGGCATCGATCGTCGAGCGATTCAATCGCACGCTTAAGAACGACATGTGGAAGATGTTTACGCTCAACGGCACTTACAAGTGGGTCGACGCGCTACCGAGTCTCGTGTTAGATTACAACGCGCGTAAGCATCGCACTATCGGCATGCGACCCGTTGACGTAACTCCCGCGATCGCCAAAAGACTCTTGGATACAGTATACAGCGCGATAAAGATCGCAGGATCAGCAAAATTCAAAGTAGGCGAATTGATACGCGTGAGCAAGTACAAGACACTTTTCGAAAAAGGTTACACGCCAAATTGGACCACCAAGGTGTTTAAGATCGTTAAAGTGCAGCGTACTAATCCCGTAACTTATCTGCTCGAGGACTCTCGCGGAAAATCGGTCGCGGACGCGTTCTACGAGCACGAATTGCATCACGCGACTCATCCGGACGTGTATCTTGTGGAGAAAGTACTACGCAGGAAGGGAGACAAGGTTTATGTCAAGTGGCTGGGATTCGATAGATCGCATAACTCATGGATAAACAAAAGCAGTGTGATTTAATTCATTTTTCTTATTTCTATAATGTATTAAAAAAACACACTGTATACATGTATACAAAGAGTTTTTCTTATTTTTTTCTTCCATTACATTTTTTTAAACTATACATGTATGTAACTTACGAGAACACATGTAAAACTACATGTATTATAAACAATATATGTATTAAGCCGAGTATATATTAAATAAATCGAAGAGAGAATTAAAGCTAATTCCTCAGCAAGCAGGATCTTGGTTGCTATTATAAATTTTATATATAAAATAAATTTTATTGTAAAACTACAAGAATACATACGTTTATACATACATACATAAATATGATACATAAGTATGTTTATACATACATACATATGTGCATATATGCATATATATAAACTATATAAAAATATAAAAATATATGTACATTGTATAAACATGTATATATATATATATTACAATGGAATCCGCCAATGTCCCCACGGTAAGGTCTCCGTCGAATCCGGTACGATGTATCGTTTGTCGTCGTACGGACTCAGAGCGATTTTCGACTCGGGCACCGTGTATACTTGGTGTAGCTTGGATCATATACATGACTGGCGACGAGTCATTTCGATCTCTTCATTCAAGCACCGCGTAATCGTCGAACATTATTGTTCGCGTTACGACGTTATTCTTTACACCTTTCGCCTTTTTAATGTCTTTTCTGCCATCCACCCTCACCGCGTACATCTTCGTTCTGAGTCCGACGAATTCCGTCATTATCGCACTGTTATTCTCATCCTTCATTAGACCCCGGTACTTTTTTATTCGCGAGAGGCATCCCGTACGCGTTGTCCGGTGGATAATCGCTCGTATCGAATCTAGCGATATCGCGTTTCATCGCCTCGTACACATCATCGCACTCGATGTGGTATACGAGACTGTTCGTGTCGGTGTACATGATCTTACATTTCTCGCGATACAGCGGTGACATGTATTCGTGGTGAAATTCGTACAAGCAGATTTTCGATATGTCGAGTATACACATACCCACGTAAATCGGCTTGTTGAATTTTACCTCGAGTTTACGCAGTTCGATGGCGATTAAGTTTTCCGCAAAGACGCTGCGGCTGTGGAAATTTGGTTTCGCGATCATTGCCTCCGCGCCATACCGTCCGTCCCATTTGGTCAAAAATTTAACGTCGACGTGATTGCGCATATTTTCAATTGTTTTACTGAATACCGCGTTGTTCATTAATTTGTACAAATTTTTTTCGAAATCGTTTTTCGTACACGTTCTAAAGTGTGTATTGAGTTCGATGTAATCGCGGAGCCAGGCGGATTGAGCAAATTGTAGTACGCGATATAACTTTGCGATACGAAGACCATGGCGTGTACATTACTGCAGGTTGCAATAATGGATGACGTACCGCTTCTTATCATATAACGTCGTGAGAAGTTTATCCTGCCGCGTGCCGGGTGGTTTATCGCGCGTCGGACAGAAAGATAGATCAATGTGTCGATCGTGCAAATGATGCGGATACTCGAGATCGACTTCGAGAATATAACCCGTAGACAAATCCGGAGCGAATCGCACTCGCATCAAAGTTCTCAATGTCTTCCATCCATCGAAATTCGGCATAGGGCAGCGGTTGACACATCGCCCATCCGTACAGATTATTTACGTCAAAGTACATAAGGTATGATGACGGTTTCGACGGTCGTACGAACGCATGTACTTGTTATTGGCCTGCGCATATCTGCCGGAACATTGACTGAGACCGCCGCGTATACCGCATTCGATAAACATAACCATATCGATGTCGGTGAGCAACTCAAATTTTACGCGCGTATGTTTCAACATGGCGTTCCCACGTGAAACTTGGCAATGTGTAGTAATGCGCGGGATCGAGTCCATAACTCGCGACGCAACTTTCGCGGAAATTTTCGAAAACATCGGCCAATAACAAGACATCGGTCTTGAGATATAGATCGCTGTATTCGCCGAGCATTCAGATGGAGAACCGCTGTCAGACGTTCACGGCGTGCGCGTAATCGTTCTTTGACATCGTGTCACCGGTCAACGAGCTATAGAACGATTTCCGCGGTGGTAGGTGCGTGTCCTGCAGCTTGTTCGCGCGATCCACGTATTCGTACGGAAAGACACCTTTGCGCGTCAACAAGTCAAAATCTTCGTTTGATATCGTGGAAAATTCGGAACGTAAAATTTTTAATTTTTCTTTCGTTAGAAAAGATGCCAATTTATCAAGGCTGGTATTTAAAAATTTGTACGAATCTAACCGCAAGCGTACGCAATTTCGCGAATCTGATCTCTCGGTGGTATCTTTAACGTGTTTTGTAAACGAAATATATTTTTCTTTTGTTCGGCAGCACGTCGATCCTGCCTTCGAACGCCGTAGCTATTTCCGTGATGATAAAGTACGCGTCATAACCGGATAAGTTGTGAAATACTATGGAAATGCAATATGAATCTTTATAATTTAGATTACAATTTGAGTGCGCAGGACTACGGTAACGACCGGTAAGATGGCAATGATCGCGTATCCGCGTGTCGTCCGACGCAAATGGTTTCTCGCAAATGTGACAACGCGTCGCGCTACGATATGCCTCCCACTGCTCTCTTGACAACGTTTCCATGGGGACATTCGCGGATAACAGAATTTTTACTTGATGCGCCAAATCTTCGAGTTGCCGAACGAACCACGCAACGCAATCTTCGTCGCGACGAAATCGATATATCGATAACGCGTCGTCGTACGAGCATCGCACGTAGTATCCGATGCTAAATACCTCGTGCTGCTGGTAGATGTACGATGCGTCTTCCCTCTCTGCCGGTTCCGTTCGCCGTAGTACGCACTCCAAGTCCGCGTAAACGATGAATGGAAGTCGTTCCTTATTCGTGTAATTCTTGAATTCGAGCCACTTGTCGTCCTTGCTCAGCAGTCGGATGACGCAATCGTTCATCTTTTCGCAGTCCGTTGTATGTGACTGCAATCTTTCAGACGAACTGAAGTAATGTAGACATCCGCAAACGGAAAATATGATTTTTTAATAAACAATTTTATAAGTGAATTTTATAAGAGAAATAATAAAATTTGTTAAAATACATACCGGTCGCAAAAGTATTTTTTGTGTTCTTTTTTACTCAGTTGCGAGCTCACAAGACGGGACAGATCTTTAATGTACGCGAAGTGCCCCGCGTTGTCATCGCGCGGATCCTGCACGTATAATAGATTTGTGTGCTTCTCCATCTTCCTTGATGTCAGCCGTATCGGGAGAATCTCCTTTCCTCCCTCGAAGCCGTAAACATTGATTGAGATGTCATTGAGATGTTCGAACTTCTTTATTTGATTTAACGTCATCGGAAACGTAATGTCTTGCAAGTTTAACACTGTCGTATAATGCGGGTACGACAATTCTCGATTTGTATTCCTTTCAGCCGGATGCAGAGCCGCGATCACCGACCACGCGAAACACGCATTGTCCTTGGATCGTACATTGATCACCGCTCGCTTTAACATAATTTCTCGCGGTAATTCGATGTAACATCCCGCGTGCATTGGATTATATTTATTCACGTTTAGAGTCAAATTTAGAATTCGCAATAACGCCCATCCACTGTCGCGTTCTTGGAATTCTTCTAGCGACACCAACGTTGATTCGATAATGTATTGCTCGTACTACTCGTCCAAATTTGACATTCGAAAGAGTTCACTATTTTTAGTGTTTATACTGTGGCGGTCACCGCCACTCTGGCCCATCGACAAGCGCGCCGGCGCGCGCCGCCGCGCTGCCGCGCGCCGACACCGTGGGCCCGCGCACGGGAGTGATTCACGCGCTCGCCACGAGCCAACCGTTTGATCATCCACTCGTGCCGGAAAGCATCATCGACGCTATATAAGAGCGGCCTGCACCACCGTTCGACACTATCCCCTCAGTGCGCACTGGAGCCCGCGCACGGCTTAAGTTAGCACTGAGCATTGACCGCTTGCGGTTATTGTACGGCCTTTTTTATACGGCTGGCGTTACCGACTACTATAGGTCGTATTCCCCCCTCAGTGGCCGCGCACGCTATCGAGGATTTCCTCTACCCTCCGATGCAATCGCCATATTGGTAACCCCCGACTTCCCAGGAAAGGCCACAAAGCAAGTACAAAGTAACATATATAGACAAATACAAAAGAGAAACAAACAAGCATGCGCCGGCAAACAATACCACAACCCACGATCAGCGACATACCGGAAGCGACTATGGAGGCGCAATCACCCTACGCACAGGAAGTCAACAGGGTAGCGATGAGAATTCCAGAATTCACGTTAGCCGATCCAGAACTATGGTTCCGCATCTTAGACCGAAATTTCCAAGCAGCAGGCATCACATTAGAGGAAACAAAATTCGGCCACGCACTAACAGCACTTGGCCCGCAATACACCATGGAAGTACGCGACATAGTTATGAATCCTCCTGAGGAAAGGCAATACGAAACGTTACGCACCGAGTTAATAAAACGCCTGAGCGCAACACAGGAGCACAAAACAAGGCAACTACTCGAACACGAAGAAATAGGCGACCGCAAACCATCGCAGTTCCTGCGACACCTTCGCAACCTAGCCGGAAAAGCCGTGGGTGAACAGGTCGTAAGGACCATTTAGCTCAGCCGCCTTCCAATCTTTCTCAAGCCGCATCTCGTCAGCAAAACCCAAGACACTCTGGACCACCTTGCCGAAATGGCAGACGCTATTTTAGATGTCACCAGAGGCCCGGCACTACAATTAGCTGAAACAACACGCAACACGCGAAGCAACACGCCAGCCGACTATAATATGCAACTATAATATACAACTTGCACAAATGCACATTCAACAAGACGAATTGCAGCAACAGGTCACAACCCTTACGCGCACCATAGAACGCATGAGCCTACAACTGAACCACGCAAGACAGAGAGAGTCCTCACGGAACCGATCTCGTTCAAGATCATCCGAAAGAGGGAACATCGATACGAAATGCTGGTACCATCGGCGATTCGGTGCAGCAGTCCGCAAATGCGAAGCACCCTGTTCACACCCAATACAGGAAAACGCCACGGCTCGCCAGTAAAGGCGGTATTCGGCACGAGCCAAAAAACACGCCGCCTGCATGTCACCGACGTCAATACAAAAATTGATTTTCTCGTGGACACGGGAGCAGACTTGAGCGTGTTCCCACGCAAATTTCTTCGTGGACCACGCAACAAGTCCGCATACACTCTCACAGCCGTTAACAACACCACGTATGGTATTGACACGTATGGCATGGAGACAATCACGTTGAATCTCGGACTCAGCCTTCACTTGGAGATTCATCGTAACCAATCTCGATAAGCCGATAATTGGAGCCGACTTCCTAGCATACTTCAATCTAATGGTCGACCTCGCCAACCAACGTCTCATCGACCAGACAACGGGTTTAGCAATTCGGAGCAAGGCAAGCGATGACATCACGGTGCAAATCAAAACCGTCCAGGAATTCACTCCATACCACAAACTCCTATCGCAATACAAGGAAATCACGCGCCCTGAAGGCCGACCAACCGAGGCAAAGCATCAAACGCGGCATTACATAGCGACCACACCGGGACCACCGGTGACTTGCAGGCCGCGTAGACTTGCTCCAGACCGGCTCATGATAGCAAAGAAGGAATTCAACAAGATGCTCGAGCTAGGTATAGCTCGCCCTTCAAGTAGTCCTTGGGCATCACCACTACACCTGGTGCCCAAGAAAAACGAAGAGTGGCATCCATGCGGGGATTATCGGGCGTTAAACGCCAGAACCATCCCGGACGCATACCCGATTCGCCACATCCATGATTTCGCACAAGCTCTCGAAGGCACAGGCATTTACTCCACGATTGATTTGATGAGAGCTTACCACCAAATCCCAATCGCTGAAGAGGACATACTGAAGACGGCCATTACCACTCCCTTCGGACTATACGAGTTCCCGTACATTCGGGCTACGCAACGCCGCTCAAACTTTCCAGCGCTTTATGGATAAAGCACTCAGAGGGCTAGAATTCTGCTTCATGTACATCGACGACATTCTCGTCGCTTCACGATCAGAGGAAGAACACCTACAGCATCTTCAAACGCTCTTCCAGAGACTCAGCACGTATGGCATCGTCATCAATCCATCCAAATGCCAATTTGGAAAAAAGCAAGTCGAGTTCTTCGGATACCTCATCACCAAAGAGAGCACTCAATCACTCCCCTCTCGCACTGAAGCCATCCAAAGAGTCCAGCCTCCGAAGACCGCCAAGGAACTTCGACGCTACCTTGGTATGATGAATTTCTACCGGAGATTCATACCAAGGACAGCAGCAACACAGGCTCCACTCAACGACTTGCTCGCCAACAAGAAAGGCAAGCAATCCATTGAATGATCACAGCAAGCGCAACAAGCATTCGAACAGTCGAAAACAGACCTACCGCAAGCCACACTGTTAGCACATCGAACGGGCACGTCAAACTAATAATTCGCCGACGCATCAGAATCTAGCGTCGGAGCAGCCCTTCAACAAAAACAGGAGGAAGATTGGCAGCCACTAGCTTTCTTCTCCAAGAAACTCTCTCCCGCTAAGACTCGTTACAGTGCTTTTGACAGAGAACTACTGGCTATCTACTTGGCGATCAAACATTTTCGGCATATGATTGAAGCCAAAAACTTCGTCATATACACGGACCACAAACCTCTTACATTCGCCTTCCGACAAAAACCGGACAAATGTACTCGAAGGCAGTTCCGACACCTCAGTTACATCAGTCAATTCACAACCAGAATAGAGCATGTAATTGGTAGCAAAAACGTAGCCGCAGACACCATGTCCAGATTGGAGACCATACAATCGGTGATCGACTTCGCTACACTAGCAGACGCAGAAGAGACCGATCCGGAAATAGAAGATTTCAAAACCAACAAACACGGGTTGCAACTTCAAAAAGTCAAAATACCTGGGACTGCGCTTCAATTATAGTGCGACACGCAAACAGATACACCACGTCCGTATCTCACTAAAGACTTCAAGCGAACAGCATTCCTGACAGTATATCAACTAGCGCACCCAGAAATCAAGGCAACAACTAAATTAGTAGCTCAACGATTCGTGTGGCCAGACATGAACAAAGACATCCGCAATTGGGCGAAAACATGCCTGGAGTGCCAGAAATCAAAAGTCACCAGACACACAAACAGCCCATGGGGAATATTCAAACCTCCTAGCAGACGGTTCGAGCACATACACCTCGACATCATTATTCTACCAGTATCGCAAGGCCAGAGATACTGCCTCACATGCGTGGATAGACTCGGTGGCCCTTCCCCATGGCCAATCAAGAAGCAGAAACAGTTGCCCGCATCTTTTACAACGGGTGGATCTGTCGATTCGACACTCCCCTGAGAATCACAACCGACCAGGGACGGCAGTTCGAGTCACAGCTTTTCAACCAATTGACTGCATTTACTGGTACCACACATCATCGCACCACAGCATACCATCCACAAGCCAATGGCATGATGGAACGCTTCCACCGCCAACTCAAAGCTGTCATCCGCTGCAGAGCCAATCCGCGGTGGACAGAAGAACTGCCAACTATCCTTCTTGGTATAAGAGCAACTTTCAGGGAAGATCTCCACACTACCATCGCGGAGATGGTATACGGGGAATCCCTACGCCTACCTGGACAATTCCTCACAGAATTGAGCAACCCACAACCAGAGGCCGAAGCTGATTGGCTCAGGGCACTGCGGCTACTCACTGACGCATTACGCCCGATAAAAGGATCTAACCACTCTGCGCAACAATCATTCGTGCACCAAGACTTGCGAACATGTGACTTCGTTTTCCTCTGGCACGACGGACCCAAGGGCATCCTCCAACCACCGTACGAAGGATCCTATAAAGTGGTGAGTCGAACTAACAAGATCTACCAACTACAGGTCCGAGACAACCCAATCACTGTCTCAATCGACCGCCTTAAGCCGGCGTACATCCTCAAGCAAGAAGACGCCCAACTAGAAGACAGCGTCGCCCCGGAGTCACCAACAACACCGCAACCAATGGCACGAGCAACGGCAGAGACCACTACCTGATCCGGAAGGCGAGTCCGTTTCCCACAACGATACGTCACGTAATGGACTCCGTCACTCACAGGAGGGTCCTGTGGCGGTCACCGCCACTCTGGCCCATCGACAAGCGCGCCGGCGCGCGCCGCCGCGCTGCTGTGCGTCGACACTGTGGGCCCACGCACGGGAGTGATTCACGCGCTCGCCACGAGATGGCCAACCGTTCGATCATCCACTCGTGCGCGGAAAGCATCATCGACGCTATATAAGAGCGGCCAGCACCACCGTTCGACACTACCCCCTCAGTGCGCACTGGAGCCCGCGCACGGCTTAAGCTAGCACTGAGGATTGACCGCTTGCGGTCATTATACGGCCTTTTTTATACGGCTGGCGTTACCGATCATTATAGGTCGTATTCCCCCCCTCAGTGACCGCGCACGCCATCGAGGATTTCCTCTACCCTCCGACGCGGCCGTGCACGCCGTGCCTCCTCTCGCCTGAGTTCTCTTCAGCGGCCGTACACGCCGTTGGACGAGACTCTTGGCACCCCTGCCGAGAGGCAACCGAACGAGCCGCTGCCTCCGATACCGGAGGAGAGCCACACCGCGGAGACGATACCGGAGTACGCCGCCCAGGGACCAGGACTTCGCCACCATGTCGGGACCGCCTCTTCACCGCCGTCGACCTCGCAGCCGCATCCGCCCGTGCCCGAGCAACCTGCTGGCAGCCATCACCGCGGGGAGACCTACCCCCGCCGCCAGGACCAGTACCGAGCGGACTTCCCATCGGCTAGGAGGACAGCGAGATATCCCGGCACCGACGCATCCCGGATCGTCGGCGACTTCGCGCCGGCCAGAGCCTGCACCGCCTGCAGCAAGGGGCAACCAACGCCCCCCGGCCTCCAGGCGAGAGCAGCTGGTGGAGTTATTCGGCGCCCTCTCGACATCATCGTCCTCGGCGGACAGTCACGCATCAGGGCCAGCGTCGCGGACACCACCGCGCCCGAGCTCAGCTCCACGGACCTGCCCGTCGACGCCGTACCATCAGCTTCTCGGCCCGTAGGGGTCCACTCAGCGAGCCGTCAACCCCGCAACGGACGAGGATCTCACCGCAGATCGCGGCGCATCACTGCCCGCCTACTTCGAGCTTTCCGGGGCAGCGCCCTGAGCCCACCAAACATCCGTGGCGCCTCATCCCATTCGACCTTGGCATCGTCACAGGGACGCTCCGACGAGACCACCGGCCGGCCTCCTATAACGTCGTCTCACAGACCGAGGCCTCGCAGCACGCTGGAGGCGTGCTGACGACCCGCGCCAGGACCACGCATCACGGCGGAGCTGGTGCTCGCGAAAGGCGAGCACAGCGCTTCCGCGAAGAACCTCGCGATTTAGCCACATCGGGTCGCACGTCAAACACACGGGGCACGCAAACCCCCGCGTCACGCCCTTGATGTCTCCGTTCGTTTTTGTAGTTTTACATGAAAAATATATAATGTGTATTTAAAGATAACCTTATTCTAAATCCTGGGAACCTGCACGAAAACCTTCATTTCCCTTTCGAACCTGCCGCCATTTT